GAACCATGAGAAGGCTGAAGAGCAGTGCCAAGGGTAAGGAATGCCTGGCAAGGTTTGTTTAGGAGCCTGCCAGCTCTTCCTCCTGTGATCTGGAGAGCACCTCTTCATCTGAAGAGCACCTCTGGCAGTGCCACCACGAGCAGTGCCTGAGTAGAACCACTTGAAAATTCATTATCATGTGTTTGGAGAAGTGGCTACAAATGACATTGATGAAAACCAGGAAGTCAGCAAGAAAAAAATCTTTGAAAATGAGGTGAATGAGTAAAGCTAATGCAACAAGCCTGGCCTCATGTTCACCACTTAAACCTTGGGAAGACATCCAAGATCAAACTTACCATATGGATGGAGGGATCAACTGGTTCCCAGCAGAGCCTTAAGGTAATAATCTATAGTGGTCTGCATGGAAATAAACAGTTCTGGTTACAGGGTCAGAACTAGGTCACAGAAATGGTGTTTGTATGGAAGAATCCCTCAGAACTGGGGTTTTCCCAGTCTACTGGGGTTTTCCCAGTGTAATCTGGCCTGAAAAGGTCTGGCTAGTGCTGTTTTCCAGCTGCCCCTCAGCTCAGCAAGAGGATTCTCCACAGACCCAAATAGGCTTCCTGAAAAGAAACTTGTTTATTTTTAGATTGGGTTCTAGTTTTAGTCACTGAAACGTGTGTGTGTGTGTTTGTGTTCATGGTTTGTTTTCCTCAGAGAGCTCTCTGGTTGTGTGGGCAAGTATTTGCTGGGACATCTGTTTCTTGGAGAAACCATAAGCCTGATGGCAGCCACGTCAGCTTCCAGCCTGGCCTGAAGAGGAGTTGGGTGCAGAGGCAGGAAACGTGGAGGTTTCACACATCATCAGGGCTTGGGATCCCCTGAACTGTGTGGGTGGAGAGAGAAGGCTTTGGGGAACTCCTACTGGCTTGGAGCTCCTCTACCCAGTTGAGCAGCTCTCAGTTCCATGGCAGCAAACACAGACTGTGGATGGATGTGTGTCTTCTGCACCCCCAGGCAGGGCCATTGGGAGCCATGGGGCATCCAGGCCAACAGCTCCCTTCTGAGAGGGCCACTTCATCCTTTGGTGTCACCAGGGCTGACCCTCAGACCCTCAGAGGACACTTCCTTTCTAGGAGGCTTTGTAGCTCAGCTTTTTGCTTTTGGGCTCTACCTGCAGGCAAGTTGTTGTCCTTGCTGCAAGGGTAGGTGTTTAACCCCAGGAATGTTTGCCTCTGCTCTTCCCCTGGATGAACAGCTTCCATGAGGACTTGTGTACAATCTGCTCCCTTTTAATGAGTCCATTTGCTGACTTAATTGCATGTCCTCCAGCTTAGCAGGAGCACTCTCCCCCAGTCCAAGCAGTCCCTGAGCTGTGCAGATGTGTCAGTAGGCACAGATGTCAGGAACCAGCCAGGTTCTGGCTTGACCTTGGAAAAGGTGCCTTCTGGAACCAGCAAAAAAAAATACTCTTTTTCTTTTGAGGTAAAAATCCTGTTCTATTTTAAGGTCAGAGGAACAAAATGTAGACATCAGCATAGTTTAAAAATGTCTAAACAGTGTTTATCCAAAAAGAAAGACCTTTTCAGGATGCAGAAGACACATTTAGCTGTTGCCTGATCTGTTTCCATTGGGTTAACCCATCTGGCTGCTGCCCAAGGGCTCATGAAAGGTGTGAAGAAGGTGTCTGTGTTGGCATCTGCTGCCCTGTGTGGAGTCTGGGTCCTCTCTTGGTGCTTTTCTACCCAGTGTCTGTGGTGGGAGTCACCTTGCTCCACTACAGCTGTTTAGAAGTGGGGTGTCCTGTTGATAAATGGTCCTACTAGAGACAGAAAGAGAGGGAGAGGGACAGAGAGAGGGGAAAAACCCTTCTCTGGAGGGTGAGTCAGTGCATCCCAAGATCTATATCTGGAGAAGAGGCACCATCTCTGACTGACTCTCTGCAACCTCAGCTGAGTTGTGCTGGATCTCTGCTGTGCTGGAAATTTGGGAAGGATTGCAATATGTTGACTTTGGGATGGTTTCCTCCCATTTTCTCTCAGAAGCAAATCCATCTTCATGATGTTACTGAGTTGAGAGGGTTATGCTGTGGGAAGAGAGGGTGTGAGGGTGGTGAGACCCTGGCCCAGGTTGCCCAGGGAAGCTGTGGCTGTCCCATCCCTGGAAGTGTTGAAGGGCAGGGTGGATGGGGCTTGGAGCAACCTGGGCTGGTGGGAGGTGTCCCTGCCCATGCAGGGGGGTTGGAACTAGATGATCTTGAAGGTCCCTTCCAACCCAAACCATCCAGTGTGCTTGAGTTGGAGAGAACAAAAGATAAATAATCTGTCCAGCTTCAATCACTCAGCTTTTGCCAGAGCTTAACCTCAGGATCCAGAGCTGATGGTTAAGGATCAAGGATGATTAACCTCAAGGAGCCAGAGTTGATTTCCCAGCAGCCAGATCTATTGCAAAGTGGAAACAGAGGAGAAACCCAAATCCTTTGGGCACAGGAGGCTATGACCCAGGAAGAGTCAAGGAGATGCTTTCTCCTGGCTGATCCTTGGACTCAGTAGCAAGAAATGCTTTAAAGAGGAGGTTGTTTCAAAAGTTGGAGAGCTTGGATCTTCTTTTTCACCAGAAGGGAGGTGGTTTTGTGGGCCAGGTCCTGCCTTTTTGGTTTGACATCCCTCCTTGCACAAATCCCTACTGATCTGCAGTGAGCAGGAAACCCTTTGTCACTGTGTGGTTAAAGCCTGAGCTGGTGGCACTGAGTGGACACTGTAGTTGTCCATGCTGCCATGCACAGAGGGGACCATCTGGACTGCATCTGCACCAGCATGTTTGAAGCTGCCAACCTTGATTTTCTGGCACAGGGCTGTGGTTGTTCACAGTGTGTTGCCTTTTCCTTAGGGAAAGGACCCATGCTGGTCTCCCAGCTGGGCAAGTGGGCACAAGCCAGGCTGTACCAGGAGATGGTACAAGATGGTACAAGAGTGCAAAGGGTGGGGTTTGGTGCCCAGGATTTTTCCCTGGTGCTGTTTTATTTGCTGCAGAAAACACAGCTGCAAAGTGGAAAAGGAGCCTGTGACCCTCAGGAG